GCTTTGAATACTAGACTTCAATAAACTCACGTGTTTGCTAGCTTGTGGGTCTTCCGAAACTTTTGGAGCTTAGCGATATGTGATGGAGGTCAGCTCATCTCCCAGTTCATCTCACATTGTCGCAAAAATGACTGTCTTGACTAACCTGGGAAATGTTCAAGCCTCCGTTAAGCCACATGACGCAAGTGAATGTCCCTACAACAGCAAGTAAATTGGTAGAAAGAAGGAGACGCAGGACTGTTCAGTGAATCTCTCTGGCCGTATTGGAGAACAATCCTTCGCTTCGTGGCTCGGCAACGGTGACAACTAGGCTAGACTTTAACGTGGTGCGACGGTTTGCGTGCTTCTTTAACCTCTGAGCAGTATTGAGTGGCGCTCCAGGGCTACTTGAGAGCTACTACGATCAGGTTGGTCAATGGTGAGAGGTCAGACAAACTCACTCTCCTTGTCTTCTTGGGTTGGGGTTGTAAACGGACGGCGTCCATTCCTGCAAAACCGGTTCGTTACCAGCTGCCAGCTGCCTTTCTGACAGGCTTTCGAGGTTACAAACGTTGGTTGCAGAATGAAGCCGTCCTATGGTCAAGGTTTCGGTGCCTAGGTACAATCATGATTATTTCATCAAACTTTACAACATATCCTGCATCCATACCTACGAAGCTTTAAATCTTTTGCCTATTCTGCTACACGCAGCAGGGCGGATAAGCAAAACCATCTTACTGCTGGCTTGTCCCTACTTTCCTTTCCACCCGTTTCCTTTACTCCCCTCGCACCCTCAGTACTTACCTCCCTTCTGTAGGGCTGACTTGCCGTATAACCTCCTCGTGGTGCCAGCTGGGTGGTTCGAGATTTACCCGTTCCAGCAAATGGTTCGGGCACAGTGTTTCAGGACGTGGTGGGTTTTCGCCTGGCAAGCGTTCTCCCTATAAAAAGCCACATATGTCCGCTTAACAACACTGTGACGTGGCGGACGTGACTCGCCACTAAATAAAGTCACTACCCCTTGCTTCATCCTGGCGAAGCATTGTATTCCAGCAAGTTTATGCTGTAATTATGGGGAGCATTGGGACTCTGTTTGACAAAAGAACAAAGGGAAGGCGTATGAACTGAGCAATCAGGCACCGGCTCCCAATGGGCGCGATTCCTTGAATACGCTCTGCTGCATTGCGGGCAGGCTATTCAGCCAAAAGCTCGGGGTGGTGTCCCCTAAGTCAACACCCTACTTCGGCTTGGGCAACCGTGTATTATCTTGCCCTCTGACGAAACCATGGACTCCGACGTGTTGTGTTGCGTTTTCTTTTACTATTTCTGTACCTTGTTTTGAGTTCCATGGTTTCCGATGGCTCAATGTCTATTCATAGACAGTTGCAATATATATATATATATCCCTTCTGTAGGTCCCAGCTTGCTTGACAACAATCACAATATCACCGGAGCCACACCAACTGCAGCCCCACCTACCCGCATCATCCACTGGACTGCGATCGATAACAGGCTCTCATTTCACGCTGTCGGGTTTCCCTGACAGCGTTTAAGACAACTAGGCCAGCAGGCTTTGTTTTCCGTAGGTCATTGTGGTTGTACGCAGCAATGCATATCAGTTCGAATGGTTACTGTACGGCGACTGTCGTTGTTGTTTTGCTTTTGGGTAGGCATGTGAGTGCATCAGCGCTTTGTCCAATTTCGTTTGCAATACGGCTATCGTGAGACAAATGGAAGAAACAGCCATCCTTAATCTTTACCATTTGTGTTAAGTATTCGTCTTTCGAGAAAGCTGTTGTGGAACCAAATGCATCTTTCTAGATGCTCATTAGACGGCAATGTTTTTGTTTGTAAACTCTGTTTTAGCAAACTTTTCTGGATCCGTAGAAATTGTTTTCCAAACACCACGTAGTTAAGCAACCAAAGCGAAACTCAAGGAATGAATGTATTGTCTTTGAGAGGTTCCTTTGCGGCAGAAGGCCCGTCTCTTAATGAGCACATTCAAAAATTGGCCTAAGCGGTTGTTCAACCTTGTGAAATGCAGAGGCTTTTAGATGAAATGTGCACAGGATGGAGAATTATTATGGAGCCGTTTTCATGGGTGTATCGACCAATTTGTGTACACAGAAAAAGCGGACGAAATCTGACAAAAGTTGCCTTAGTACTGGTCACTTAATGCCTCTCGAAGACGCCGCTAGCTTAGAAGCTGCTAGGCATCTGGCATATTCGACTGGATATGATTAAATGCATTTGCAGTGTTACCAACTGCTCAGGGCTACGGTACAACTAACATATTTTTAATGTACATCTTACTGTGTTGATAAATTGATTAAGAAACGTGTTCGTCGATTCCATGGGATCAATGGTGTGGTTTCTAACGCTCTCAAAGCTATATAAATAAGCAAAGCAACTTCTTGACATTTGGGTGCATGATCTACTATGGAAAATGCTTAATGAACCATTTGTTTAGTGTACAATTTTAAATCGATTCAGCAGTGCTATTTCTACTACCAAACGGTGTGCATTGGGACCTTTACGGCAGGCACAGAACAACATCCTATTCCCTGTGACTGTTGTGCCCCATTTCATTCCGTCAGTCAGAAGGCAACTTGCTTGTGTCAGTCATTTTGCCATTCGCTAATTAGTTGATATAAATAATATTTCCGAGATACAACTGCCCAAGCCACAGCGGGAAACAGATATGATAAATTAGGATGTTACGGTTGGGTTAACTTCATGATACGCAAGTCAAATATGTCTGGATATACTAGCGCAAATTTGGATATACGTTATTGAAACGCATTTCGAATCAATATGATAACTCATAAACATTTTTTTGTTTTTGCGGACCACACAGCCCACTTAAACAGTGCAAATCGAGCGGGAGTCGGAAAGGCGGCGTCTAGATGATACTAGATGTTATACATTGTGCCAACACGGATAAGAAGAGCATGCGTTGTGTTCAAAATTACTTTATACTTGTTTGCGGTCTTTATGTACAGACACAAATACAAGAACTAAGAGTTTAACCCCATTGTAATGGTAGCGTGCATTCCGAGACGCATTAATTTGATGAGGTAAGTAAGTAGCTAGACTGTGGTAAACGAACAAAGCGGCAGATTGGACTATTGCGCCTGTTGGCTTTCACGCTGATTGATTTATATTTGGCTACTTTGGAATGAGATTGTCTAACTGAAGCAAATCAAGAATTACGTGAATGTTGAAGTGTCATTGATTAGGTTAGTGAACTAGTTGAGATTGTTTTATCAGGTAGACCGTTTGCCACTGACGAATCAGGTTCTGCGACAGCCAGAGTGTAGAAATCTGGTGCAAAACCTATTCAACCCCATAAAACTGACGTTTGTGAGTTGCTTCACAATATTTTATCACCGCCATTCCCCAGCCAGAATACCTCAAGATGCAGGCCGACGTGCAACCACATGGGTCGCGCAGTCGATTGCTATAGTAAAAACGCACGTCTTATGAATGAATTGCCAAATAGAACCGCAATCTGTTCGTATGTAAAGACAGAATAGTCGTACAAACGTTTCACATAACGCGCCGACCTATTAGATGGTGATTCCAGAGTATCTGTGCAACATGACTTTGGCTGCTTGAAACTGACGGTAAAGAGCAAGGCAGTATTTTGTCCACCTACGTAGGGTGTTTGGGAAGTCCAAGCACTCCATCCTTCCGAAAAATCTAATGTCTAAGTAAGGTTTTGTGTGAAACATGCTATCCATACATGATGTCCCGGGCGCAAACACGATGCTGATGTGTCAGAAGCTTCACAATGTAGAGCGACCAGCAGTGTTAGGGAATTGTTTCACTTCCCCTAACAACTCATACTGCGAAACCTTGGCTCCTACAATGGGAAATATCTGCATACGCGATGATACTCCTTCATAGGGCGCCAACTATTGGCGGAACCAAATTGCTCGCATATGGTGATCTGTTAGAACTGAGCCACAATCGGAATTTGAGAGGCCTCCAGCTCAAACCTTCTATGCATAAGTCGACTAGACTGCTGACAAACATTTTTCTCCCTTCGGGTATCTCGAATAGGAATTGTCCTTCCGAAACATGGCATTTTATCCCTGCATCAAGGCTTCTTACCAGACACCTTGATGATACGCTATCCTATTTATATTACGTGATCCGGTCGGTGTCGGTCAGAAGAAGAAGTAACACGAACCAAACTTCATGGTCAACAGCCTCTCCATAGGTGAGGTAATCCGCATCAGTGTTCATTTCAATAGCTTGATGACTCACGTAAAACCAACAATTTCCTCAGTTCCCATCATATTTTTACGATTGGGTTCTGTCGTGTCGTCCTCTGGGAAGCAAGAAGACTGGGCCGCGATCACCAAGTCATTTATTAAGATTACGCTGGAATATTAATAGAGTATGTACTCTGTTTACAACAGTCCATCCCAATGACTCATCCCTGTTATTTGCATTGTGTCACTGGCTCCCTTTCCATTGGTTTATGCTTGCACTTGACGTTCACTCTGTCTAAATCACCTTGGCTTTCTTAGTCGATGTACGATTCGAGGGATTGGGTCCGCAAGATTCTTCCCTCAGTCCAATGTCACATGCCTTGGCACAATGGTGTACGCGTTCCTTCGTCTGCTGGCGCATGATTGGTCACTTACACGTTCAGTGGGTAGTTGCATGGTGATCGCGATTACGGGCCAACTATATCCTGATTGGCTAACCAAACTGCTTCCGGCAGAATGCTCACTCATTATCGGTCTGGCCTGTGACGTTCCATCGGCATCATAGCGTTTCCAATCACCGCCATTTCCAGCTTCCCTCACAGGTTCTTGATCTCCACTCAGATCCTCTTAAAACACTTGTCAAGCACTCACTTTTTAACACACCGTAAATAAATGCTCGTTGGGTGCACTACCATAGAAACAGTTGGCGCCAAGAAATCAAATATGTTTTCGGTACCTGGTGGCAGGCAGGCAACCAATTGCATTGAGAATGGCTACTTGAAAAAGATTATAATAGCTCACCTGGCTGAGAGTTGAGGAAGGAGAGCATATTCAGCATCTTCAAATCGGGCGCTAGATGGCGTAAACAAATTAGTCTGTTTCAGTAGTATGGAGAGAACAAACTACTAAAGTACCAATAGCCTATTACCAGAGTAAATGTCAAAAATACCAGTCTATATATATATATATATGTAATTATTATTATTAGGTAAGCTTACGGTGCACACAAATTCATTGTTTCCTTCGATAAGCAAAATGATCTAAACAATGTCAGTTTCCAGTTATATGAGAAGTAAGAATGTCCGTAAAATGATACATTGTTGAAAACATGTTTCTCTCCCCCTGCCTAAGGTAAGGATACCGCCACAATTCTTTCATACGCGTTTAGTGTCTTATGAGCAACTGTCCGCTGATCCACCATGTATTACAGGTCTCAAAACAGTAAAACGGGTATTAATAATGAATAATGTAGATTTCGGTAATATTAAGAGGTAATTCATCATGCAGTTCCGCAGCTGTCACACTTGGCTAAGTGGCACCAGCTGCCGACATCCGGAGGTCTTGGGATGAGCATCCGGCAGGGGTCCCATGGAAGGCGCACCACTGACGCGACGCAAAAGGTCGAAACAGCGCTGTCTGGTGCTTTTCCAGGCTTGTCAAAGCCTGCTGACTGAAATATGAGTATGTTTGCAATAAAACAAGTTTTGGTCGATCATTGCATTACTAACTAAAGCTCAATGACTGGATGGTCATGAAGCCATCCATCAACCATTGCGTGTCGGGTCCTACCATTAGCTCAGGCCTTGTATATGTGAAGCTCCCATACATGAGCGAGGTAATGTAGAGACAGTAGGACCAATAAGGAGAACACACGTACGTAGACGGTTGGGCAGCTTTTGGGCACTGTGCTTGCGAGTTTTCTGTTCAGTAAGTCAAGGGTGGTATGTAGTTGGATCACCGGTAAACGATTAGCCCTAAGTGGAAGAAACGATGTTCAGTCATCCCCGGAGGCTCCGGGAAATACGGTTAAGTATTGTAGTAACTTGGGCTGAACAGCTTCCGGGCAGTAGAAGATGACCCCCGGTGAGGTTTCGTATCAAGACAATGACCATCTAACAGTAGTGCAAACAAATATTAGTCACAGCCGACCCTTCATCACACTGATAAGTTGTTTTCTGCAGACAGTTTATTGGAGCCTAGAAATTGTACCGGCCTACGAAGGATGCACCATGGATAGAAGTCAGGAGCAAGTGCAGTTTCCACATCCAAGTGTAGAGCGCCTGGATGTCCAGTTTAGCGATTACTCTCAAGATTGGTTTGTGGTTACTCTGATTCTCAGTAACGGATTGTGCACAAATAAAAGTTAGTACCGCGACCCCCACTCAAAGGTGCCTCGTGTGTGTGTGTGTGTGTGTGTGTGTGTGTGTGTGTGTGTGTACAAACTATAACAGTCTCATTATCGCTCTTGTTCCATAAAGTTCACTATGATATTGGACATAGCTGCGGGGATTGAAGGGCTTTGCAATATTTAAAATAATTATCTCAGCTCTCCCTGCCCAATCTAGGAATGGTCTAGATGCACGTGCGGTTTATCACTTACAACGCTTAACTGACACTCATCCGCAAAAGGTACCCACATAGGCTACTGTGCTACAGTTTTAGTGGTCCGGCTATAGGTCACAAGATTCAAATTGTTGCGGGTTGTTAGGTAAAGTGATTGGTCGTAATTAATCAGAAATTCTTTCTTGGACCGGCTCATACACGGAGACAACACTGTGGCAATTATACCGCCAGGCACTAGTAAGTAAGTTCAAGTCTTAAACTCTTTCAGAATCCGATGGCTTGAACAGATACGTGGAATGCTAGTCTAACAATTGAACAGGGGTATTCTATTGGACCGTCTGGGAAACCACTAAGAGGAGAAAGGAACAGCTATGATTGGCTAACGATTTCCAATAGAATTCAGCTATCTCACCTGTATGTACCGCTACCGAACAAGAGTTTCCGATATGTTCACCCGGAATTCTAACTACCATACTGAGGTTGTGGTTTTACAACGAGCTGGAAGTTAAAGTTACACTCCAACATAGACGGTTCAAAGTGTTGTGTCGTCAGGGAACGCCTTTGCCCCAGGAACGCAAGATGTACTCCAAAGATCAGCCAGGAGAGAATTGTGGGCATTGAATGTATGCATTGAAGCCAAGTGGAACAGCGCTCCAAGGGCAGAAACATTGACCACAAGCAGCCAATGAAATTAGCGGAACACTGTGTTTAAACACACGTCAGTAACAGTGACTAAGTGTCCCTTTAACACAAACTCTCAGGTAACCGTCTCAAACATTTACCTGTGTAATTACACTCACAGTCGGAAGTAGCTTGGTCAAGCTGTGAGGCGATTATCCACAAGGATTTAAGAGCATAATCTGTGCAAGCTGATCAGTAGTGACCTAAAGCTGCCTGCTAGTGGCATTGCTAGACACATAATTGACCTCGCCATCATTCAGAATAATCAGTGGACAGAGCATAGTCAGTCGACTTCAGTTTGCCGAGGCGTCAGCAATTAGGCGGATGAAACCCACTCTCTACAAACTGACCGAGTTGATAGCCAGTCTCTATTTACCGCGACAAAACCAATGGCTACATTTTACTAAACGAATTATCCGCCAGTGTCAGATACAGTTTGGCCGCCATCTGTTCACCAGATACTCTGCACGTTGATTCTCTCAATATGTCACCTGGCCATATTACGAACAATATGTAGATGGCTGACGGGAATTCGCGCAATAGCTGACTTTAGATCAACCAGCTGAAAATTTGCTTTGTTTTTATTTCTACTAGGGTAAACATAAAGAGGATAGTTAGGTTCGACCACCAGTGCCATCGCAGTTTGGCTCACATCTGGTGGGAAAACCGCGTGAGCAACGAGCGTGTTCGACGCCTTGTTTATGGCACAGGAAAAGGAACTGAACCACTCAGCACCGTCATTTCACGCACCAGGCTCCGACGACTCGGCCAAGTGTTGCGTATGCCAGTCCACCGACTCTCGCGGCGTGTGTTGTTTGTGCGCCGGGGGTGTGAATAGAAGAATAGGAGAGGTGGCCAAGCAATGACTTGGTCCAAAGGAATGCAGGCGCTTACTTAGAACTTTGGCTCGGTTGGAAACTTTCGGCTCCCTGGTTGGGGTCCGAAAGACGATGAACACGTTTGGCTAGATGCACTTTTTGACCTAGTTAGGAACCGACCTCAGTGGCATTTATGTTGTGTGTTTCTTTGTCCCTCCTTCTCTCCCTTAGCTTTCCCTCCAACCATGATCTCAATTATTAGGGATAATATGACTAGTTTGCGGCACAGTAGCCGACTGCTTGCTCTCCGAAATGATGTCCATCCGGATTAGCCTTTCCCTCCAAACAAGACCTTATTTCCTAGCATATTATAACTTTTGCATAATATAATTTGTTGTGGCACAATACCTGGTCGGGAGGTTTCCGGAACAATACCCATCCGTTACTGGTGGCTCAGCTTGCGTGCCTCGTTTGCAGATTGTTCTTCTTTCCTTATGTATTGCGGCAAAATATCTTGAGTGTTCCTACCTCTAGCTAATGTGCACAGTGAATGAACAAATGATGTAGTGAAGTCCTGTTGATAAACAGTCTTACACAAAAACCCCAGTGACATTTTGGGAATCTTCGCTAGATTACTCGGCAAAAGATCCAAACATACACTGGATTCCCTAAACCAAACCGCAGCATTGACAGAAATTGGAAGCATGTAGCCGTAAACTGAAAAGCAATTAATCCGATTCTCTACTGATAACTGGAACAACACTTACTTGCGACCAGTAGAGGCACGACCCACTCGTTTGAATGCATTCATCGTTGTGTGAAGACCACCACATTTGCGTGGTAGACCGTAGACATCGTACACCGTCGGTCCAACTCTGAAGCATTGACATAAACACAAACGGTTAGTGTACAGAGCTATTCGATTGAGCTCCGGGTGCGTTTGGGAAACAAAAAAAGAATTCGGCCACAGTTTGCATAGGTATCCGGCTCACATCTTCAATCGTTGAGACCCTCTTTTGATGATAGTGAAAATTAGTCTCTTCACAAGATAATTTCGCGAAATTTTCCTACTAATAGATTCGCACTTCAATGTTGCAACAAGAAGTGGTCCCAGTGGGCCTGACATTGTCCATTAACGGCAAAAACAACGAGTTGAATCTTGGAATTTATTTGGGAAAGAAATGCAACTGTACAACTTTTCGTAAGACCACGTATGCTTTGAGGTTGGGGAATTCGTTCTTCGGAATGAATAGACCAACGCCTCCTCCCACGCAGGACACCCATCCATATCCGGGAATTTGGATGCTTGGATTCTAATTTTAGCGACAAGAAGTTTGCTTCGCTTTCATTCAATGCAAAATTGTTAGTCTTGCAGAACTTATTTTGCAATCATGTATGGTTGTAGGAAGCACAGGGGCGACGACTTTTTGAGTGGATTAATGTAGAGCGATTACCACGTCAGCGCTCATTAATCATGGGCATCCTGTGCTATGTCACGTCCATCCTACTGAAGCTTTAGACACTACCGTGCGTATAAAGATGAGGAAAAGTCTGATTTAGCCGAACCGATATACGTGTATATACCGTGACTTGCGGATTGCGTACAGCAGAACCCGCAACTGACGGTATCGCTTACATTCGCAGCAGGAAGCACGCCAATTAGAGGGGAAACGAGCTTACATGACCTTTTCAAGAGATGAAATGTGCACCTTGAAGGCTGAAAAAGTCACTAACTGATTACACAATCGCTTAGTTTAATTCCGACATTGCCACATTGCTGGATTTTATTAGGATTAGAAGGCAATTTCTGTGACGATCTTAGGGTTTTAATTTATTTCATGTTTCAATGTCAAAGATGAAACTTGGATGATTACGCTGATAACTTCAACGCTATAATTTGTGTTCAGGGGTGTAAAACTGACATAACCGTTGCAATACACGCTCTCCGTTGTTTTAGACAAGGTTAGATGATAGTAGACCCTGCAGTATGTTTTGCGAAGTGAATCGTAGCAGCAAACCCAACACTTTACACAGTTAGAGGTTGATAAGGGAATGCGCTAGTTTACAATGTCGTCCAAAAGAACAGTCGTGCAATCCCAAATTCCTCTTGGAAATGATCAGATCCCGTTTGGAACAAGAGCAACATAGCAGCGAAATAGGAAGAATATTACTGCATAAGATGAAAAATATTCTGCTATCATATTTACGCCTCTATTTTTAACCACCTTAACTCAATACTTGTCAATGAGAAATATACAGATGACAACCTTGGACATCACTTATCCGAGAAAAACCACATTGGCTGTTGCAAGTCTTTTGAGAAATCTTACGCTGTTGTCTAAGACCTGTGGTGTGCCATCTTGTGTTTGTGATACAAGACAACAAAGGCTGTTCAGCGCAGTCCTTGAAGGAGTCTAAAACCACGAACCAACATGTTGGCCTCTTAGGGAGTGCATTCTGGAGGTTCGACCACTCCTGCTTCAGCCAAATGCTTAATGGGTATGTGAGGCACCATGGGAAGTACGCGATCCAGACCTGGTTGCACTGAAGACGACACTGCGAAGAACAATGCAAATTGTGAGGTGATTATTCCACTTTCCATGCCACTGCGACTGAAATCCCTGTGAGTGTAAGGCGAAGGTATCGCCCTCTACGGGGTGACCTCAGTGTAGCGCATCGGATCTTGGCAAACCTCGGTCACGCTTGCTCGCACCTCCCGAAGCTTAGCTGCAACACCGAATTGAGGGGTCATAAATTGAAACTTGCCACCCAATAAGGTCGGCTGGAATGTTACCAGAATTAATTTTTGCTTCCAGTTTGTCAACCATGGAACGCTCTTTCAACTTTTGTCCTTCCTGTGTCCACGTTACCCATATAAAACAACGACTCGATAATGCTTTACACCGAAATGATTTGGAATATTGGTAGCCCGGGAGGCTTGTTCAGTTGTTGTGGCGTCCTCCGAGCTGGGCAAGTTGACTGCAAACCTTTCACCACGGTTCGAGGTGGCATTTTCAGTGCGGACTTGATAGCAGTCAAGTAGCAGTGGCTGGTAGAAAATAAACCTAAAACCCAATCCCGCACTGAAGATGCCAACACGAATGGTGGCAAAATGTTTGCAATCAAGTCGCCCAGCTCGGAGAACTCCAAAACAGCTGATGCTTTACACCGTTTACATTACTTGATCTGATTTCTATTCACGGAGTGACGACAAGACGCAGACAAACATTGTGCTCACCAACACCGTGAAATCGAGGTACACGGATATCCCTATGTGTTAACGTGGACAATATGGTGACTCCACAGATGCGCGTTTCACGTTATTTTAACTGATTTACCCAAACAATTGCACTGGAGTTGTTTAGCCTTGGCTTTTCTATCCGTATTATAACATTGCTCCATTAGGATCCAACGACGAGCTTCGACTTAGTATACCAAGCACGCCGCTGGCAGAAAGTCCGTATGAGGTGAGGTAGCCAGGTATCATACTCGACCACGAACTATAATGGGAACTTCAAATGAACGAATTTTTTATGGAAGTTATAAAGATTCCTTTGTAAACCACTTATTTGCCAAATTTCTCTGCCCCCACCGCTATTTAATGGTAAACGTTATCGACGCCTGTCTGCTGCACAACAGGACCCTTTTCTCAGATATGATATTTCTATTAACTACGCAATTTCAAAACATTCGATAAGTTGATGCGGTGATTGTCCCCATGTAGCGGTATTGCAGACATGTCATTTTTAACCTTGTTATATTTGCTCGTATCAATCCTTGCACATGTACTAATTAGCCGTCAGTCGCCTCATATTCTGATGGGAATCTATGCCGTATAATAAAAGTTCCTTTTTATTCAGTACTTGTTTACTGTGAATAGGTGTCAGGCCTGTGTTTCATCGCATAGTTTTCAAATCACCTCCCGTTTTCATAATGTTGTCATCTTTTGCCAAGCTGAGTAAGTACAAAGTATACCCACTTTGGCGCTGGTACCAAAATTGTTTAACATAAGGCTAATGCTGTTAGATGCTTTATGTGTAGCGTGAGTTCCAACTGTTGGTCTATCCCTTGGCCAATGTAAGCTTCTCCAAGTAATTCAACACTATTCTGTTCAGATATATGGTAAGTGTAGCCGGTCCGCGGGCGTCACGGTAACATGTTAACAGGTAAGAGGTCGATCGGTTTCGCTTCCTGTTATCCTTACCTTCCTATTCCACTCCGGCACTTTCCCTTCCCTCGTCCGTGCTTCCTTAGCTGCCAGCTTTACATCGGCCTCTTACTAGGCGGCTAGAGCGTCCAGCCGTCTATGAGGTATTTTTTGTGCATTGCAGCTGGTCGTACTATTTGGACACGGAAGGGCTCATAACGCCGGACCGAAGGAATATTACATAAGAAGTGCCAAGTTAAATTGCAGCCCGAAGGAAGGAAGCAAAATCGCGAGCCAATAAGTAGGGCAAAACTTTCCGTTACTGGAAGCCTCGTGTGCTCATATCGACAGAAAGCTCCCTAATCTGCGGGCTACAACCTTTATGGAATCATTGCAGACGTTTCATCACCAATCAAAGTGGCAACTTCACTGTGTACTAGCAAGTAGCTTTTAGATAGGGGAACCGATCAGAACTTCAGCTGCAATCCTGAAGTACAGCTATTCAGACTTTCCGGAACAATGAATACTGATATATGCCAGGTAAAATAGGAGTTTCTTGAAAAGTCCTGCAGGATGGTGGGGGTAAAACTACAATTATCAAAATATATGTCCGTTGTCTGTTTGAGCGCTTAGTTAGTAGATACTCTGCTGAATAATAATATTGTAAGTTGGAATTGAATACGAACGGGGAAACAAAATGGGTAAAGTTGCTGTACTCCGGGATAAAAGTGAAAACGAGAATACTCACTTCTCTACTGCTTCCTCAGGTTTATGTGACATGTGAATCTGGTTTGAAGGGATAATTAATCTATTCCAAGTCGCACAGTTTAGGCAACGAAGTGATGGGGGCCAAGGACAAGATCCAATGGCTTTTTGCAAATATCCAAAGTTAGGGAGGAAATGACGAAGTTTGGGAGAGAGTTTCAGGGTTGGCAAATCCGAAGAGAAAAATAATTCTGCCGGCATTCCACGCGGTTATATTGTGCACAGAATTTCAGAGTGTTACCTCTGAGATTTGTGTTTTGGCTGAGTTTCAGCAAGTGATTAGGGTCACACAATATTTGGTAGACTAATATGAGATCTCATTTAGAGTTAAAAAGAACACGAGACCATCGGTGAACAATTGTTTTCGATGATTCTCTTCAGACCATTACAATCATATTTAAGGATAAACTAAGGAACTGAAATCGACTCATTGGCTCAACTTACATGGTCAATGAACTGTGTAATTTGAGCCAATGAGTCGATTTCATTTCCTTATTCTACCCTTAAATATGATTGTATTGGTCTGGTGAATCATCGAAAACGATTGTTCACCTATGGTCTTGTGTTCTTTTTCATATGAGATCGCTGTGGAGCCTTCGGTAGCGGCCACTGAAAAGTCCCAGTGACGTCAGGCTTTGATGGTAGGACAGATTTCGTAGGCCCTTGACGTTCTTTGTAGCCCTGCATTGTGGTTTATCTAGCACTTCTGAGTCGCGCTTCAAACAGTGTTGCCAAGCTTGGATTTCATATTCATGGGGAGAGTGCACGTAAGAATTGTGCATCATGGGGTAGATAGATGGGTCGAATCGTCCGAATGCTCTCCGCAGCAAGCCCACATGCTGGTTGACTCTCTTCGCAGTAGCCTCTGACTGCATTGAACACGAACGGTTACTTTGAATGAGCACACTAATGTCACATTCTCGGGAAATTGTTTGCAATACATATTACCCAATCCTATACAAG